GCAGGCCCCACGCTCTGAGTTGTCAGCACAGAGCGAGAGAGAGAGAGGTTGAGAAAGAGGGAGAGAGAGATGCAGGGCTCAAACTCACGAACCACGAGATCATGACCTGAGCTTCAGTCCAACACTTAACCGACTGAGTCACCCAGGTGCCCATAACATAAAAGTTTATGAATACAGTAAAAAGAATTTTTTTCCCTAAACCATTTGAGACTATGTTGCAGACTTGATTCAACTCACCCAAATACTGTTTCCCGCAAACAAGGACTTTCTCCTAGTTAACCACCATACAGTCATCAAAATGGGGGCATAAAAATTGATCTGCACTGCCTTTGGGCATTATAGGGGAGACCCATACTTACATAATTGTCATAGTCATCAGCTACCCAGAAGGCCTAAAATACTAGGTAAAAATCTTGATCATCCACCGACCCCAAGTGCATGGATTCTCCCCACCTTCTCTCAAGTGCAATCCATCCCAGGTGAGCTGGGATTTGCCACAGGCAAGAAAAGATGCTAGAGGCAAGTGTTGAGGGGAAGGAGCATCATCTGCAGAGATGCCCACGTAAGAAGGAACGGTGACCTCCGATCAGCAGGTGCTGGTGTCTCCTTGCAAGGGCATCTCGGGAATTTGGGGCTCAAGAGTCTCAGGTGCGTCCCCACAAATGACTGAATCCCAGATCTCAGATGGGCCCCAGGGCTGCGTATTTCATTCCCTTTGAAGGCCTGCACCGTCAGGCTGAGACCCTGGCCTGACTTCAGCGGGGTCTGCCTGAGGCTGCAGCGTGTGCTCTAGAGGACTCTGGATTTTGTGACACGTCTTCAACGGGAAATTGCTGCCCTGGGCCGGTCACTCTGTTCCTACAGTTGGTGTCGCCTTCAGAACAGACTGCCCCTTGCCATTTGCGTCGTTTCCGTGGGGACCTGCCAAGTTCTAAAACCACGGAGTCCCCCAGTGCCTGCCTTTCACCCACATGCCCTCCCAGTAGCAGAGGGGACAGCAGGCGGCTGGGGCTGGGGCCTGGTTCCACACTGCGGTCATCCGCCGGCATCTCCTCACGTTCCCAGCCCAGAAAGGGGTCCACACGGGTCTGCACAAGGGGTTCTCTTTCTCTGAAAGCGACTTCCCTCCAGGGGACATTTGGGGATTTGGGCTGTCACACCAGCAGGGGCGCAGGGTGCTACAGGCATCCTGGTGGGTAGAGAGCAGGGATCCCGCTCAACATGCCCCACGGCGCCCACGACGCCCCCTGCCCCACAGCCAAGAATTATCCAAATGCTAACAGCGCTGGTGCTGGGAAGCCTGCTTTTCATCCATTACTTCTTGGCATTCCCGAGGTTGCGGGGAGAGGGGACTTTTTAGGGTTTTAAGGTGAGCACGTGAGCAGAGATAAACCCATTAGACAAAAGAAAGAGAATCCCTTCTCTCTGTCCCACTGGACAGAACGCGAAAAAGAAATGATCCAAATGGGCATCTCATGACCCCCAAAGACACTGGACTAGTGGCCTCTGGCTCTTGTAATAAATTCATCCCAACTTGGTGGCTTAAAATAACATCCGGAAGTCCAAAATGAAGGTGTCAGGAGGGCCGTACAACCTTCAGAGACTCGAGAGGAGTCTCCTGTGTCTTCTGTGGCAGCTTGCTGGCATCCGGCCCCTCCCTGGTCTGAGGCTGATCGTTCCATTCACGGCCCTGTCTGCTCACAGCCTTCTCCTCTCTGCTCTGTGTCCCCTCCCCTTCCGTCTCTTGTAAGGACACTTTGTCACTGGATTTAGGGCTCCCCACTGCCTGGATAATCTCTGACGATCTCCTCTCGGGATCCTTCACTTCATTTGATCTGCAAAGTAGTTTTCTCCAAACCAGCTCACATTCACAGGCACTGAGGGCTCAGATTTGGACAGACCGTTCAGGGCTTCATGCTTCGGCGGCGAGAGGCCCGGCCGTGGCATGAGGTTGACCCTGGTTCCGTGGCCAAATAGGCAGAAGGTGGGTTGACCATGTCACTGAGCCCAAAGCCTGCCTTACATCTGGCTTCCGTGCTTAGGACTGGGGTGAAAACCAGCCCAGCTCACATACCGTGGATTTGCTCCCACAGCAGACACGGGAAGCACACAGATCCTGCCGAGTTCCCGAGGCCCACACAGCAGTATGGAGGGTTTGACACCGCCTTAGGTTTCTTTTAAAAACTAACAAACGAAACAAAACTCATCCCAAAGCCTCACCCTCACGATCACTTCCTCGATCAGCTTGTTACGTTGTCACAATCCTTTTCTGGACTTGTGTGGGTTTGAAGGGTTTTTTTAGGGCAGTTGTGATGCTCTTTCATCTCTCTGGGGCTGTTTACGGTCACGGGCCACCTCAAAGCCTTCAGGAGAGTAAGCAGGGGGTTCATGATTTGTGAGACGACCGTTGTGGTCCTTGTGGCTTCTCGATTCAGGAAAGGAAGCGGATGTTGGTTGGGAGGGTTTGTGGCCACAACCAGCCCCAAGCCGCCCTATCTGTGCAAACACCAGATCTCTGTGGGAGCGGCCCCCCCAGTGGGCCGGGCTTCACGCTCCTTCCATTTAGGCCCGTACCCCCCACAATGTGGGCTCCGAATCAGGCTGGATCCCAACTCTTTTTGCCAAGGCACTCCAGGGTTCGTCGGCTGGTTGGTTTTAAGTAAACTCTACACCGAGTGGGGCCCGAACTCACAACCCTAAGATCAGGAGTCTCACACTCTTCCGACTGAGTCAGGTGGGCGCCTCCCCAGGTCATGTTGTGTTTTTTTAAGAGCTAGTAGTGGCGAGTTAGTGGTAACATCTCATTTCATTTGACCTCCTTGCCACACTGATGATGCTGTCTGCTTTTATAGAAACAGAGGGGATTTGGTGGGAAGCGTCCAGGGAAGCGCACGGTCCTGGGAAAGGCTGCGGAAGAGGGCTGTGAAGATGAGGTGCTGGAGAGAACAGTGGCTGCTCCGAGTCCGGAGAACCTGTTATTTTATGCAGCAAAGGGGCACTGACGGGGCAGATGGAAGTGTTGCTCATGAGGTGGCATAAAGAAGAGAGGTGGCTCTGGACAACTGGGCGGGCGAACAGCCTCACAAAGTTCCCTAAAAGGGGGGTGGGGGTGTGGAGAGGGAGAGCCAGAAAGATGGCTGTGTGATCACTTGGCCTGTGATTGCGGGCCATGAGGTGCGGAATGTGGGGGCCCCTAGAAGAGGGAAAAGGCAGGAAGCGGATTCTCCCCTTGAGCCTCCAGAAGGAACACAGCCCTGGTGACATTTTGACCTTAGCCCAGAGACCCATTCCGGACTTGTGATCTCCAGAACTCTAAGAGAATAGCATGTATTGTGTGAGCCACCCAGTCTGGGCTCATCTGTTGCCCTACAAAGCTAGTAGATAGGAGTCGGCGTGCAGGGGCCAGGAGCCGACAGACACCTTTGGAACAAACGTCATCAGTCATCTGTCCTGGAGTCAGCCCCATCCAGAGCCAAATTCAAGGAGAGGGTCTGGTTGGTCTTGCTCGAAGCACCTCCACATGCCCGCTCCCCAGACCTGCAGAGACAAGGGATCCTGATGGACAGAGCCACCAAAGCCAGACAGCAGGGAGCCAGGAAGTCCGGCGGGAGCCTCTGCGTTGGGGAGCGCGTCCCCAGAGATGGCACAGCTCTGCGCCCGTTGCCCTTTGCATCTCTGCTGCTGAGTTACTGGCCTCACCGATGATCGAATCACAAAATCACAGACAAACCCAAACTGAAGCACTTTCTGTAAGACACCTGGCCAGGGCTCTTCAGATGTGTCCCACGGAAGCAAGAGAAAGACAGTTCAGTCTAAAGTGCATTAAGGAGACAGGACAAGTAATATAACGTGATTCTGGGTTGGATCCTGGGACAGAAAAGAATTGTGGTGGTTTTCCTTTGCACTGTAAAGGATAAGACTTCAATGCTGCAGATTAGATACGAGATACCAGCATCATCAGTATTTTCTGGATTTTGACCATTGTATTGTGGTTGTGTGAGCAAATACCATCACCTCTGGGCAAATCCTACACATATACTTAGAGAACCAGAGGTTTTGAGGTTATGAGCAGACAGTACCAGGGACTCTGAAATACAGAGAACAAACCGAGGGTTGCTGGAGGGGTATTTGGGAAGGGAGGGGTGGGCTAAATGTGCAAGGGGCATTAAGAACACTGGTTGGGAAAAGCACTGGGTGTCATGTGAGTGATGAATCACTAAATTCTATTCCTGAAATCATTATTACACTGTATGTGAACTAACCTGGATATAAAAAAGTTTTAACATTTATTTTTGAGAGAGAGAGGGAGGGAGTGTGAGAGCGGGGGAGGGGCAGAGAGAGGGGGAGACACAGAATCCGAAGCAGACTCCAGGCTCTGAGCTGGCTGTCAGCACAGAGTCCGACGCGAGGCTTGAACGCAGAAAACATGAGACCATGACTTGAGCTGAAGTCGGACTCTTAGAGTCAGCCAGGTGCCCCAGATGTAAATTTTTAAAAAATAAAAAAAGTATTTTCCCTGATCCCACAGGGACAAATACATAGACTGTATGAGGAAACACACGTGTGCATGTATGTACGTGTGTATGTGGGGGGTATGCATCCCTGTGGTGGACAGGCTCTTGGGGTAACCCCCCGACATGATGCCACCTCCTGGTGTTCACACCTGCTCCTGGATTGCTCCACTGAGGCCTCAGTTCCTCTCTCCCAGCCACTTGGAGGTCCCCAAAGGACAGCTCACAGCTCCATCGGGGCGGGGCGAGGGCCGGGGGTGCAGATGCGGGTCAGCAGCCGAACCACAGAACCCGGCGTAGGCTTTGCTCCGTTCTTTCTGCTGGAAGCGAGTGCTAGGCCCAGCCCTCTCTCAGAGGGGAAGAAGGACATGAACGGGGGGTGGGGACCGTTGGGTCCATGATGGAAGGTGCCACCCAGAGTCCGTTCCCCCCAACCACATCCTTCGACCGTTGTGCTCTGATGTGGTACCAGAAAGAAAAACCCCTGTATTCATAACGCTTCGGGGCGTCTTTAATTCTGCCTTTCCTTCCGTCCCCTCCCTCGGGATTGGCATTAGGGGCACAATCATCCGCTGCTGTTCTGTGGACGTGGAACAGCATCCCTGGCCTCCCCAAGTATCTCAAATGTCACCTTTTTTTTTTAATGTTCAAGTATTTGGATCTTGAGCACTGAGCCTTTTGGTGCCAGCAAGGAGCGCACAGCTGCCCCTCCCCGAGCCGGACGAGAACTCCTTAACCACCATACCATCCTGTGAGGTAGTCAAGTTACTCTGCACATTCTACAGTGGGAGAAACCGAGGCTCAGAGAGGTGACTGAGGGTGTGCAGGGTCCCATGGGGAACCATGAACTTGACCCTGTCTGGCTGACAGCTTTTCCACTGGCCGTACAGTTCTGCACCGTGGGCACCACTGACTCTCCTGCCATGGCCACACCGAGGGGAGCGGACTCCTCCCTCAGCAGCTCCCAGTTACATGCACAAGGCAGGTGTCTGACGGCCCCGCGCACCTGCCGGCCAGTGGGCCAGGTGTGCACCTGCAGCTGGGTCCACTGTGCCTGAGAAGAGAAACAAGAACCACTAGTGGCCCCTACCGGACGGTGTGGGCATAGCAGCCAGCGTTCCTTGAGCGATAATGCCATCTAGGGGGTGCTGCGGGCACGAGCACCAGCACTGGTGGGCCTTGGGGCTCCTGTGGTGTCAACAGTAACACCTAGACCGGACGTGGGCATGGTAGTCAACATTCCTTGACCAACACTGCCACCTAGAGGGTGATGTAGGTGTGGCAGCCAGAATTCCTTGGGCAACACTGCCACCTAGAGGGTGCTGCAGACAGAGCAGCCAGCCTCGGCCTGGCTGTGCATCCTGGTAATTCAGCTTCCCACGTGGTTTTCACACCTGGTCCCAGAGGCTATTCGTCGAGGGGCTGTCCCCTCACAGAGGAGCCACGGGACATCTCCAGGCCCACCAGGCGAGCACTTTCAGCCCAAAGCCTCTGGGCTACCTCCTCATCCTCAGCTTCCGGGGCTGGAGCCTTCTCTTTGAGTCCATCGAAGTACTTTCCGGAAACGCCCTCCAGTTCCTCTGCCACAGCCAGGTACGTGCTGGTCTGGGCTGCCAGCTGGGGGCTCTTGACCAGCAGCCAGAAGATGGGCCCTGCAATCGGCCCACAGAGCATTCAGTCCATGCACTTTCTGAGAGGAGGATACAGACGGCCCAACTCCACCACCAGCCTGCCCAGGGCCCACAGAGGCCACAAGTCGGACCGCAGGCCCACACAGCCCACCTCCAGGCCTTTGCCTCCGAGGCCCCCTCTACCAGTTCCCTTCCCTGGCACTGCCCAGCCACATCCTCCAGATGCAGACACCAGCCCCAAAGCTGCCTTCCCCAGCAAGCCTCCCCAGCTTTCCCCCGGCAAATAGGAGCTTGCCCTCCTCTCCTTCAGCTCGGAGCCCTTACCCTACCCCCTCTTGCTTTAAAACAACCTTTATTTATGAAATGTCTCCAGCACGAGCCTCAACTTAGAATCCCTGATATCGGGCACCCACCCATGAAATGTTTTGCTTGCCCTCCTCTCCTTCAGCTCGGAGCCCTTACCCTACCCCCTCTTGCTTTAAAACAACCTTTATTTATGAAATGTCTCCAGCACGAGCCTCAACTTAGAATCCCTGATATCGGGCACCCACCCATGAAATGTTTTTCAAGATGATAAATACTAGTTCTAAAGTTCTAATTATTCAGCTGAAAGCTGGGTCAGACCCTCTGCCGGCCCTTTTAAGGGCCATCTCATCCTCCCAGCGAGTGTGGGGTGTGCCATTACGGCCCTCGCTCCGTACTTCAGGGAACGGAGGCTCCGAGAGCGGAGGAGGCCTCCCTGGGTGGCAAGCTCGTCTGGGGTGAAGCTGGAGCCGCCGTGAGCACAAGGGGGAGTCTGCTCCACGGTCTCCTTCGCTGAGACTCGGTTTCCTCATCAAGTAGGATCTGGCCTGCTTCCTGGGGCTGTTTCCACGGATGGCAGGCTGGGTCCACATGTACGAGTAACTCGTTCTCAGGACCCTCAGAATATCCAAGGAAGGGGGCAGAGCCAAGCCCCAGAGATAGTCTCTGAGTGTGAGGGGCTCTCTGAAGGAGTAGAGATCGGCCCACACCGATGTGGGCAGCCACCATGCAGTTAGTGGATCGTGTGAACAGAACGAAAGGTGGACCAAGGGCCAACTCCGCTCTCTCTCTGCTTCAGCTGGGACCCCCCCCCATCCCCTCCTGCCCTCAGACACCAGTGCCCTGGCCTGGCTGGGGCTTACACCAGGGCTCCCCTGGTTCCCAGGCCTTTGGGTTTGGACAGGGACACACCATCGCCTCTCCTGGGCCTCCAGCGGACAGGTGGCAGATCTCAGGACTTCTCAGCCTCCATAAACGCACGAGCCAGTCCCTCACGACAGATCTCTCAGAGACCTGTGTATATGCTATCGTTTCTCTGCGGAACCCGATTCACCGGAGGGAGCCAGGCCCCGGGCTGGGAGGGTAGGCATTCAGCTGAGGGCCCCCAGGCCAGGAGGGGGCTTACCGAGGGTGAAGCTGGAGAAGGCAGAGCTGTGCATGCCCGTGTGTCTGCCCAGCTCCGTCCTGGCCACGCCGGGGTGCAGAGCATTGACAGTCACGCCTGTGCCTGAAGGGGAGGGAAGAGAGGGGCAAGGGGGGAGGCAGACACCACGTTCACTCCCACCCGGAAGGCTGAGGCCACCCACCCTTGGCTCTAGGCCCGTCCCATTCTGTGTCCTCCCCTTGAATCCAAATCCACATCACCCCTCTTGCTCGGAAACTTCCACATCAAGTAGTTTCATCTTACAAAGCAGCTCTGTTGATGTTGATGGGGGCTCGGTCGATTAAGCATCAGACTTCAGCTCAGGTCATGATCTCACAGTTTGTGGTTGGAGCCCCGCATCAGGCTCCGTGCTGACAGCTCAGAGCCTGGAGCCCGCTTTGGATTCTGTGTCTCCCTCTCTCTCTCTGTTCCTCCCCCACCCATACTCTGTCTCTCAAGAATGGATAAACGTTAAAAAAAATTTTTTTTAACTAAAAAAACACACAAAAAACCCCAGCTCTGTTGCATAACTGCCTAGATAGAGCAGGGTTCCCCAAACCTGAGCATATGTAAAAATCACCCGGAGGGCCTGAGCTACCCCAGCTGCCGGGCTACTCCACCTCCCCACCTCCCCATCTCCCCACCCCCTGGCATAGGAAGCCTTGGCTCGAGGTGGGGCCTGAAATGCTACAGTTACGGTCAGCTCCCGGCTGAGTGGACGCGGCTGGTCCACGATGCTCTCTGAGAAGCAAGTGCACAGGGCAGACTCCAACCTCAGCCCCACGGACGCCAAGGTCGGATCGTTCTTTCTCCCGTCCTCGGCCACGTGGCAGCAGCTACGCTCACCCCACCTCCGCTGCCCAAACTATCTTCAGGTACTGCCTAATGTCTCCGGGGGCTCCACCCGCCCGCGCCTGAGAAGCGCTAGCCCGGGCACCGGAGGCCTGGATGGCGGTGCAGGAGGAGCGGGGAAGAAGGCGGGTGGCTCAGCGGCGTCCGCTCCGGCGCCGGGGAGCAGGGCGGTGTGTGTCGCCCACGGCTGGGGGCCCGGCGCCGCCGGAGGACCGGCCCGGGCCGGCGGGCGAGGCTCGGCACCCACGCACCCTGCAGCCGCCGGCTCAGCTCCCTGGTGAACAGGAGCACGGCCAGCTTGCTCTGGCAGTAGGCCGCCTTCGTGTCGTACTCCCTCCTCTCCCAGTTCAAGTCCTCGAAGTCTATGTGGCCCGCAACGTGCGCCAAGGACGAGAGGTTGATGATGCGCGAAGGGGCCGAGGCTTTCAGCTTGTCGAGCAGCAAGTTGGTCAAAAGAAAGTGACCTGGATGAAGGACGACACGGAGTTCTGCCTGAATCCTCACCTGGCGCGCAGGACCGTCCTGAGGACGCTGCCTCGTGTGACCCTCCCAGGGCCCCGCGGCTCTGGGCCGGGGCCAGTGCCGGCCCCAGGGGCCTCTGGCAACGTCTGGAGGCTGCGGTCTGCACAACCGCAGACACAGCAGGGAGGCGCCCCGGCCACCGGGCGGGTGGACGCCGGGCCTCTGCGCGCAGGGCAGCCCCGCAGGAAAGAACCATCCCGCCGACCTCCTCGAGGTCAGCCGCGGGGCCGACCCCGCCGCCTCCCCAGACCCTTCCGCCAAATGCTTCCGCCATTTCTCCTTCCGTCATAGAATTTTGGAGCTGTGCGCAGGACTGCCCACTGGAGGACTACATTTCCCAGACTCCCTTGCACCGGAATCAGGTCATGTGACTGGGTCCCAGCCAATAGGACACCGAATAATAGTCATGTGAGTTATGACCCTTCTAGACCTCAGCTTGTGGTCTTACTTAGAGGGGTCTTTGGAAAGGCGGTCAAGTGAAAATGAGGTCATGAGGGTGGGCCCTGATCCAGCGCCTGGCGCCTGCCCAGTATCTATTTCCTCCTCACCCCTGTTCCGTTCAGCAGAGTAGCTGAAGGACAGACAGACCGGAGGACAGAAGGGGTCAGAAGGCCAAGAGGCGGAGGGAGGATCTGAAGGACTAGCGGGGCACCCAGCCGTGAGCTGGCAACTCCGAGCTGCCGGTGACCCCACAGGGGCCGCCCCGCTGCCCTTGCGTGAGGAGGACCCCCGCCCTCCCACGGGGGCCCCCGTCCACGTCCCAGGCCGAAGCTGCCCCCGCGCAGCCCGCGGCCTCACCCAGGTGGTTAACGCCAAACTGCATCTCAAAGCCGTCCTCGGTGGTCCAGTGGGGGCACCGCATCACGGCCGCGTTGTTGACCAGGATGTGCACGCGCTCCTCCTCTGCAGGACGGGGTGAGGGCAAACGCGTCAGCCCCACGCCTGCGTGGAGCTCGGGCACGGCTCGGTGGACAGCACCCCCTACCCTGGGCTGAGCAGTGTCCCCCAGACATTCACGCGCACCCGGAGCCTGCGAACGCAGCCTGACTTTGCAGAGTCTTAGCAAAAGTTATCCAGTTAAGATAAGGTCATCCTGGGGCCCTAACCCAGTAGGACTCGGGGGGGACACAATCAGAGACACAGCGATGCTGCTTCGAGGACCGAGGGCCACCAGCAGAAGCTGAAAGACGCAGGAGGGGCCGTCCTGTCTCAGGCAGCACCACCCTGCTGAGCCCTGGATCCCGGACTTTGGGCCTCCACACCCCTGAAGAGACTGGTCTCCAGCCAGTCCGTCTGCTCTACTCAGCGCCGGCAGCAAGACACAGATAGGCCCCCACCTACATCTTGGAGACGTTTCCTGGAAAGGGAAGAGGTCACATCAGCAGGGGCCTCGGGGCCTGAAACTGGGGGCTACTCGTGGGAACCCCAGCTCGGGGTTAGCCAGTGCCGCACCCAATTCCCAGCCCTGCCTCTCCACAGGCACAAGCAGCCATACCTCCCCGGGCCTGTTTCCTCATCTGTAAAATGGGATGAATGACAGCACCGTCTCCCTGTATCCGTCAGAAGGCGTCTGGGAGCCAGCGGCAGGGAGAGGGTTGCCTGTACCCCGGTCTGTACTTTCTCAACGTTCCATCCCACAAAGGTCATTCCTGCTCTCAAACCTAAGGATGTAAGCCAGTTCTGAGAACATCTGGTGAGAAGCAAAGCCAGAGAGTCACGAGCATGACAAAGTGCAGAAAAATGCCAGCCTCATCCCCGGACCTGCAGAAAGCAGCCCCCAGCAAAGGCAGTGTGAGCGCCGGGTACTCTGCGCTGTGCCGCATCGTCATGGCCGCATCCCACCCAGGGGACCGGGCACAGAGCCTGGCTCTGACTCCTCTCTGCGTCCCGGGCGTCACCTGTCACCCAGGAGAGCCAGTGAGCCTCGGGAACCCGGGGTGGGTCAGCACCATCCCCTTCAGCAGGCTCGCTCCTCCGCCATCTCCCTGCCCATCCAGCCTCATGGGCCTCTGTGTCCTGGACAATCTAATGCCGGAGGAGTTTGTTTTCCAACAGAGCAAACCTCTCCTGGAAAGGACCAGGCTAAATACTCTTGGCTTTGCGGCCCATACAGTCTGTCTCTAAGACAGACTCCGCCGTCGCAGGACTAACACGGGCACAGGTGATCCAGAAACTAACAGGCATGACTGTGTGCCAATAAAACTTTATTTGCAGACACAGACATTTGAATTCCATACACTGTCCACATATCCAGAAAGATCACTCTCTTGATTTTTCCCAACCATTTATGTAAATGGGTGAAACGTAAGATATGCTAACGTGACAATATCAGAAAAGAAGAAAAATGTATCTTCACCCGCAGACGGCGGCACCTGTCCAAAACCACGGGCCACGGCCTGCCGACACCACGCCCTAGGACTTGCCTGGTTTCATTCCCTCCTCCCAGCCCAGCCACCCACGGCCTCGCCCCACAGGGCCGGCGTCCTCCCTCCTACCTTCAATGATCTTCGCTGCGAACTCTCGGATGGACTTGAGGGAGGCCAAGTCCAGGTGCCGGGCGTTGACGTGGTGATTAAGGGTCTCCCTGCGAATGTCCTTTGCTGCCGCCTCACACTTCTCCATGTCCCGACAGGCCAGAATGATGTTGCCTCCTGGAAGCCCAGGCCAGGATAAAGAAAATTAAAAAAAAATTTCTTTTTAACGTTTATTTATTTTTGAGAGAGAGAGAGAGAGAGAGAGAGACAGAGTGCGAGTGGAGGAGGGGCAGAGAGAGAGGGAGACACAGAATCTGAAGCAGCTCCAGGCTCTGAGCTGTCAGCACAGAGCCCAATGCGGGGCTCGAACCCTCGAGCCGTGAGATCATGACCTGAGCCATGGTCAGACTGAGCCACCCAGGTGCCCCATATAAAGAATATTTTTAAAATTCTCCCCTCAAGGGATGCCTCAGTGGCTCAGTCAGTTAAGTGTCCAACTCTTAATTTCAGCTTAGATGATCTCATGGTTCATGGGTTCGAGCTCCACATCGGGCTCTGTGCTGACACTTCAGAAGCTGCTTGGGATTCTCTCTCTCCCTCTCTCTGACCCTCCCCAGTATGCACGCTCTATCAAAATAAATAAAAATTTTTAAGAGATAGATAGGTAAATTATGCATTGTGTGGATTAAATTTCAATACAGCCATAAAAAAAAAATGAGAAAAATAACAAAACCAGGGATCGGAGAACAGGCAGCCATGCTGTGGACCACGTGGGTATGCGTGGCTTACCTGCCCGCCACTGGGCCCCGCTGCCCCTCACGCAGTCCACAGGGGAGCTCATCGGACCCTGGATCCGGTCATCCTCTGCTGCCTCCGGGCCCTCAGGACTGCGCTGGGTGTGTCCACCCAATTTCTCCTCTCACCCTTTCCTGGGAGGAGGAGCATGTGCCCCCTGCTAGGGGAAATCCTGGGGGGGGGGGGTGTGCCGCCCATCACGGCCCCCACCGCTCTGACCTCAGGGGTGGACAGGCAGCCCCTGCCTGGCCCGTCAAGCCCACAGAAAGTTCCCAATCTCCCACCGCCCTCACGCCTGCCCCACCACCGCCTTCCTGCCCCCACCAGTGGCAGCTCTGGTCCTCTAGCAGCTCAAACCCAAGTCCTTGACTCCTCCTTTCCCGGTGCCTGAAGCAACAGGAAACCCACCGCTCCTAACTTGGAAGGAGATCTTCACGTGCTGGGAGGGGCACCCCTCCTGCATGGACTTCCTCCAGGACCCCGGTCCGACCACGAGAAAAACACTGAACGGACCCACATCTAGGGGCCTCTACAAAACGCCTGACCAGTAAGCCTGCAGGAGCCCAAAGCAGATCCTGACCCCCAACCCCTGACCCAGGTCCCAACCCAGCCATCAGGACGGAGTCAACTACCGTAAGGAAGCACAAGGCCGATGCAAAGAGAAAAGCTCCCCCAGAAACTGCTGGCGGTCCACAGCCTCCTCTGAGACCCAGAGCCCCCCTCACCGTGTTCAGAGATGAACCTTTGTGGCGTATGCGGACGTGACTTTGGACGACCAGATGGCCTTCCCATCCCCCAGGGAAGCAAGGCCTCCAGCACCAGACCTCACACCCCAAGCCGCAGGCAGAGGAAGCAGGTGCCCACCGGGACCTCACCTCTCCTGGCCAGCTCCAAGGCGGTCTGCTTCCCGATGCCCGTGTTGGCGCCGGTCACAATGACGGTCTTCCCAAGAATGTTGGCCTTGCTGGGACAGGACCCTCCGGCGACATAATCTCTGCAGGCGAGAAGTGACATGGTCAGCTGTCCGTCCACACCCTCGCTGCAGGTGCCCCCAACTATTAGGCTCTTGGGCAAATGACCCCACTGGGCTTGTGTTCCACAAATCGAAAGACGGTAAGGACATGTGGTAACTGAGTGGGGGCCTCTGTGATGTCACAGGTAAAGGGCTCAGCGTGGCCTGCCATGGGGAAGCCCCCACGAGAGTCGGTACTTGATGAAGACCCGCTGTATTCGTTTGCTGTGGGCGCTGGAACGAATCAGCCCGAGCTTGGGGGAGTTCAGACTCTGCTCGTGTAACATAGGGCTCTGCAGGCAGGAGCCGAGCTCACTGGGTGAGGGCAGAGCCGTGTTCCTTCTGGAGGCTCTAGGACAGAGGCTTGTTCCAGGCCTTTTCCGGCTTCTAGAGATGCCCGCTGGCTCGTGGCCCCTCCTGTCTCCAAAGTCAGCGGGACAACGTCTGCAAGTCCCTGACTCGGAAGGACCATTGTGATGGCGCTGGGACCACCTCCTCATCTCAGGCTCCTCACCTCCATAGCATCCGCAAAGCCCCCTTTGACAGGTAAAGGAACATTCACAGGCTCTGAGCATTAGGACACGCACATCTTGGGGGGGGGGGTATATTCTTTACCCATATCCCACAGAGGCCAAATACTGGAAACAACTGAATGTCACCAAGAGGGGACTGGCCAAATAATGCCACCTCCATGAGAAGGGAGCTGTACAACATGGAAACCACCAGCCACCTGGGGCTACGTTTTTATTTAAATTAAAAATAGGGGCACCTATGGGGCACCCGGTTGAGTTTCAGACTTCGGCTCAGGTCATGATCTCATGGTTTGTGGGTTCGAGCCCCGTGTCAGGCTCTGTGCTGACAGCTCGAAGCCTGGAGCCTGTTTCGGATTCTGCGTCTCCCTCTCTCTCTGCCCCTCCCCTGCTCATGCTGTCTGTCTCTCAAAAATAAGTTTAAAAAACATTAAAAAAAAATAGGGGCACCTGGCTAGCTCAGTTGGAAAAGCAAACGACTCTTGATCTTGGGGTCGTGAGTTTGAGCCCCATGTTGGGTGCAGAGATTACTTAAATAAACTTTTTAAAAAAATAATTAATTAAAAATAGTCATACTTTCCCCCCGGGGCACTCAGCTATCTTTCGTTCTTCCTGTTCCATGCTGTCACTTTATTATTATTACTATTTTTAGTTTTTCAGGACTGAAAGACAACACTATGAATAAAAATAAAAACAGTAAGAATGAATTTTATACAAAGAATTATTTCCATTAAAAAAAAAACTATTTCCATTTTCTAGAACTTCCAAAACAGTTAATATTACAGAGTTCAATGAATTATAAATACCAAATCAGGCCAAGTACATGAAAAAGATCAGAAGCAACAAGTTCAAAATGAAACCTCATCACAGCTCAAGCATATAAACCCAAAAAGTTATTCAAAGAGATTTACACTCTATGTTAAATTCCCTTAAAAAAAAAAAAAAGGTATTTCAATATTCCAATGACTTTCAGACCTCCCAGACAATCTCTTGTATTGTGTAACTGTAATACAGTTATATATTGCTTGGGTGCCTGGGTGGCTCAGTCAGTTAAGTGTCCGACTCTTGATTTTGGCTCAGGTCACGATCTCAGGTCTTGAGATCAAGCCCCTCCGCAGATTCTGTGCTGAGCATGGAGCCTGGTTAGGATTCTCTTACTTCTCGCTGCCCCTCCCCCACTTGCACACCACTCCCTCTCTCAAAAATAAATACACATTTTTTTAAATTATATATTGCTGGGCACCTGGGTGGCTCAGTCATTAAGCATCTGACTTCGGCTCAGGTCATGAGCGTGTGAGTTTGAGTCCCACGTGACATGAGCTGGAGGCCCTCTTGATATGAATTCGATCCCCACTTTGAGCCCTGCTTCTCTCTTCTCTCTCTCTGTCTCTTGCTCACTTCTGCTCTCTCTCTAGCTCTCTATAAAAAAAAAATTATATATTGCTAAGTTTTGTTTTAATTGTGGTAAGAACACTTAACATGATTTCCACCCTCTTAATAAGCGTACAATACAATACCATATTAACTACAGGCATAATGCTGTATACATAAGTGCTATCTATATAAGTGCTATCGTAACGAAGAGCACAAATATAAAACACTCCCATCAGCGCAGGAAACTCTCCGGAGCAGTGTTGCTAAGGCATATTGGGTTGGCTGGGTTTTCTGTGGGGTTTTTTAGTGAGTTTGCCTGGGCGAGCCACGTATATAACCCATGCAATACCATCTGGTCGTGCACTGTGTTGGGCAACTCAGTTTGCATCTCTGATTTCGGGTAAGAGAGCTTAAGGTGGCACACATTTTCCTTGCACCGGGGCCAGCACGTGACTACGGAGACTGCTCAATAAAGTATCTACAGTATGGATTCAATAATCAATGACAAATACGGAAGCAACTAGACCGGCAGGTTCCCAAGGGCCCGGATCCGCCCCTTCCAGTGGGGTGACCTTGGGCCGTGACCTGCCCTCGGGGGCCTACCTAGGTTTGCCCCCCAGCACTGTCTGGGAGCGGGGCTGGTCGGATGAGCTGGACGAGCCTTAGGCTGACGACCACCAAGCAACTCTCCCCAGCCTCCCCCCGTCGCGGCTGCAGCCGCGCCCCAGCAGCGCGCACTCACCGCAGCAGCACGGCGCCACCCGCCACCGTGCCCAGCACGGACAGCGGCAGGAGGTAGCGGTTCATGCCGGCAAGACCGGGGTTCCACGGGGAGCCCCCCGGAGACCTGCCGCCGGGTCACCCCTGGGAGCGCGCAGCCGGAGACCCACGTGGGGAAGGCCAGGCGCAACTGGGACCCAGGCTTCCGGAAGGGGCGGGGCTTAAAGGGGCGGGGCTTCCAGGGCGGGACCTACGAGCCTGCGCGCTGCAGCTGGGAACGGTAGTTCCCGAGAAGTGGGTGTGGCCGTGGCCTGGGGGCGAAGCGTAGGGGCGGGGCCTTGTGGGGTTCTAAGGACGTCGCGTTCCCACTGCTCCCTGGAGCGGCGCGCTTCTGCTGCAACACCCAGGTTAAGACCTTGCTGCTGCTTCTGTGTATCTTTCAGTTATGTCAGCCTGTTTCCCACCTAAAATGCGTGTTCACCAATAGTACCTTCTTCATAGACTTTACGAGAGAATGTGAGACTTTCGGTGCTCAGAAACTAGGATTTAACACCCTGGGGATTCCCAAACCCCTGGGGTCCTAAGGGAGAAGTAGATCAGGGCTGAGGGAGGAGGGTGCAGGGCCTGGACTCCTGGGTCTGAGAGAAGGGGGCTGGGGGCCTGGATTGCTGGGTCTGGGGGGGGGGGGTGGACTCCTGGGTCTGAGGTAGGAGGAGCCTTGGGGGTCAGGGCTGAAGGGTCTGAGAGGACAGTCCGTGGGCTTGGACTCCTGGTTTGAGGGAGGTGGGGCTGGGGGTCAGGACTCTTGGGTCTGAGAGAGGAGGGGCGGGGGCTTGGACTCCTGGATAAATTACTATAAATTCATACAGTAGGTTATTATTGAATAAAAAGAATGAACGGCTGGCAGTTGCCGCAACACGGATGAAGGACGAAAGCATCATTCTGAGTGCAGGGAGCCAGACAGCAGACTGCATGCCACATGACTGGAGTTAGATGACATTCCAGGGGACACAAGACTACAGGGAAGGACAGGATCTGCGGTGCCAGGGTCGGGGAAGAGGTCACCAGAGAGGGAACTTCTTCCGGTTTTGGAAATAGTCTCTATCGCAATCATACTGGCAGTTACATACATGACTACATACATTTGTGAAATGTTACCAGTGTGTTCACTTAAAAATAGTGAATTTTACTGCATGTAAATTGTCCAGCAATAAAGCTGACTAAAAGAAAAACTGAAATTTTTTTACAATTTGGTTTTGGAAATTACTTGACCACAAGTAACTCATCTGATTTATGATTCAATCAGGTTTGTCTTTAATCAACAGACATGCCTGAAAATTCTTACAAGGTGAGAAATATCTGATAAATGGTTTCCAAATGTCCCGAGAGGTTTTTGAATATTGGACTGGACAACAAATTTGATGTAATGTTTTGTAGATATAAAATAAAATGTATTCCCCTTGGGTTTGTAGCTTTTGCAGTTTGGAGCTAATGATCTTTCCCACGGAGGTGATGTTGCTCATTTCTGTAGTGCCCTGAAAACTGTGAGTTCCATGTGCCCTCCCAGACACAGGGCACCCAAAGGGAACACATCAGCCCTGGATCCAGGCTGTGTGATTGGAGACTCAGCCTAAGAATGTGGAAAAAGTTCCTAGAGGAGGGGAAACCCAAATAGGGTTTTGAAGGATGTGTAGGAGTTCTGCAAGACGAATGAGTGGCGAGGAACAAGTAGACAAGTGTAACAGCGTATGCAGAGGCTAGAAGTCACGAGGCAAGTTGTTTGGAGACAGACGCATGTTCAGGATGGTAGCAGGTTGGCTTGAATGGGGAGGCAGGGGGCAAGAGATGTGGCTAAAGGGAAATTTTAAAAGAAAAAGTAAGTAATCGTACCAGCTACTATTTATTGAGTACCTAGTATGTATATTTAATCTACGCAAGAAACCAAAGAATAGGTTTGTAAGGCAAGAATAGAGGTGTAGCAAAGGTGACTGAGTCTGGTGAAAAGCCTCTCCCCTTTCCGAGATTGTGGGAACTTGGGGCTCCTGGACCCTGGGAAGGGGGAAGGTGCCATCGAGGCTGT